GAGACTTAACGTAGTTGTTTCTCAAATTATCTTTAGAAAGTATCTTAGGCCCGACATCGGCAGGGACAGCTCACATCATAAATGAGAGCGAGTGTACCGTGAGGTGCGTTAGAATATCATAGATCATACATGAATCGAAGGAAATAAGACTCAACACAGGGGTATCATAACAATCTTCAGGCTGCAGAAACATAGAAATTACCAGGCCGCATGCTCGATGAGACTGGTGCACAATGCATCATCATTTCTGACATCCGTCGATGAGATGTAGAAAGGTCAAGAAAAGTCAAAAGTAAACGCAAGAATGTTTGCAAAATTGCTGCAGCAACGGGGATCGGAAAAGGAAGATTACCAAGCCTCCTCAACGTCAAGAAGCCACTTGCGAATACCTTCTCTCAGGGTATTGTCCGCTCCTGCCAATGAACGTCTTCGCTCTCTGTCTGCAAGACCTAGCTCCCCGTCAGCGTCCTCGCGGCAATGTTCGGCTGTCACACTGCGGACCACTTCTTCAAGAGCCCCAAGCACCATCTTACGGCACTCCGCGCGGGGAACCTCAAGAGAAGGAACGTCGTCCCGAGCGACAGTGTCAGAAGTGTTTTTATCTTCGACCCTCCGACCACGCGACGGCGACTGGGCTCTCGAGTGCGCCAATGATGACTGTCCACTCTGTGCGAGAACACGCTCGAGCGCATCAACAAGTGTGCCATCCAAATCCATGACAAGCTCCTCAACGAACCGCTCTTCGTATTCAGGGGCATCGAAGGGCTCTGCCACGGAGTTCGCAGATGTCCTGCTCGAGGCGGAAGCGGCGGAGAAGAAGCTTGTAAGCTGCGACGCAGATGTGGGATGACCGAAAAGATGGCGGGGGGTTCCCGGTTGAGAGATAGCCCCAGGTGTTGATGGACTCCTGCAAGAGCCACTTCCGACAACTTTACGCCTCAGGCGCAGCCGTTTGACAGTGAAGTTTCTGGTATCTGCAATCAAGGTTGTTGCAACATCCACCCATTTTTCTTGTCCTTCAGGTTCAAAGGAAAAAGCGGAACTAGGAGTGGGTTCGGCTTGCATCGCGCGCTTGATGTCTGCTTCTAGGCCGGCATAAGGTCGCACGCCCTGAAGCAAAAAGTCCTCGTGGAAATTCTTCAACCATCCAGCAACATTCACGTTGGGTCCGTCGTTGTCCTTGGGGCCGCAGTGAAATCCGGAGTTGCTACTGTGTGTGGACGCCAGAGCATCAACACTAGTGACCGATGTCCGCGTCTTCTTTGGGGACGCTATGGTCGAATCGCCAGACGACGAAAGGGAAAGAAACCCGGGAAGTGGAAGTTCCACGTCCACAATCCCATCGTCTCCCCGCACAGACAGCTTCAAGGAAGATTCTCTGTTCTGCTCCGTCACGGATGACGGCTCTGGAATATCTTCGTCCTGCCCTTGCTGACTGGAGGATCGAGGAATTGTGATAGTGCCACTCGTGGTAGTCTCCGAAACTTCTCCAGGTGTCTCGCCCGAAACTTCTTTGACCATCTGATTCAGAGTCGGAGGGCTTCGCTTAGCGGGGCCGACATAAGCAGACACGGAAGGCTTTCGAGCTTCGGCAGGTGGGACTGCGTCACTGCCTTCGGTCGTGGACGACTCCTGGCGCGAGCTCCACAGACCGGAGAACAGACTTCCCCATCGGCCACCGTTGGAAGGGACACTGCTGTTAGCACTGATGGCTGAACTCTCGCTTCTTTGCAAGTTCCGTAGCAGGTTTTCTGACGCCAGACTGTCATTGACGCCCGGCGCACTCGGATCAGGATCCTCTCGGTCACGCCGGGTCTGCCGCGACGCAAAATGGGGAACAGGGACAGCACTGCCGGGAGTGGCCGCGGAGGTTGTCGCTACACTGGTGTTTTTGTTCCGCGGGTCTCTTGCGTGCATGGGAACACCCAGCGTCCGAATAGAGCGAGCATCAGAGCCTCTGCGATGCGAACCAAGCTCAGGAAGCGACGTGTCGACGTCGTCCGCCGACCGATGCGCTGTCTCATTAGACGAGACACTAACGGACCGCTGGTGATTGTCACTATCAGCCAGGCGCTGCGCGCGTGACCGCCGTTCAATGGCCCTGCGCAAGGGTTCCTGTCTCAGAACGGGCACAGTCGGTGGGCTCTGTGAAACGGCACGTGCTGACGCGGAGGTGCCTGGACGAAGCGGTGACGGAAGCGGATCAAAGCGTTGCTTGGCCGGAAGGAAAGCCGATAGCAAGAATATAAGCCGCCGGGCCGTCATTTTGTCAGGCGAAACGATAACAGTTCTGTGGGCAAGGGCCGGGTCCGCGTCCTGTTGGGTCTTTTGCTGGAGATAATGCCGCCGGCGGTACCAGTCGGGGCCCAGTGTACTCAGCCATTCTGTATGATTTCCCAAAAATGCGGTGATCAAAACCAAGAAGAAAAAGCTATGCTCTTTATCCCCAAGATTGCGAACGATCGAGCGTCCCTCTTCACGCCAAACACCCCAGCGGCTTTGGCCAGTCACAACATGTGGGATCTGGAGGGCAACGCTAATACGACGGGCGCTGCGGAAAGCCTCATCCTTCAACCTCGAATTCACAGCCAGTATGTTCGCCGGCAGATGCACAATCGTCTGGTTTGTACGTTGCATGTTTGGAGGCTTGGCAGGCTTTGGGTTCGCTCCGAACGAGTCCACTTTCTTCAAGAGAAACAAGATTTCCTTTCGAGAAAGTCGCTCCAAATGTGACAGGGTGCGGTTGATCACATCCCAGTGATCCACCAGCAGATCAATCCGCTCATCCAAGCTTGCCGGTGGAGACGCCAGCGACAGGCTATCGTCCAGGAAGCCGCCGCGCCAGCGATAATCCGAGTCCAATGAGCACGACATCCCCACCCTGGGTGAGTCGGCAGCTTGCGCATTGAAGCGCGAACCTGGCCGTCCCGAATTACGGGAGAGAAGCGGAATTTGTATCGTGATCGCCACCGCATACATCGGAGTTTTCTTCTCCTTGATCTTCTTACGCTTGGTAACATCGGGAAAGGGGAACCCGGTTTCCGGGAGCGACTCTTGGTACATGGAAGTCGGGTAGTCGGGCCTATCAGACGTGTCACCTACCTCCGGCAAGTTGACACTGAACATCCGCGTCAGTAGAATGGTGACTTTGGATGGCGGCTTGACTTCAGATCCCCGAGATGTACCCATAAAACCGGAGGAACTTCCCGTAGTGTATGCTCGCGAAAGCGAGTTGCGGGTTGCGGGCGATGCACTTGAAGTTCGACCCGAATCCTCATCTGCAGAGATGATATGCATCTTGGTTGAAGAGCCCCGATAGCTAAACGCACTGCTGCCGAATATGCAGTTCAACAGACCAGAGTCATTGTTCTCGGCCGGATGACGTGAGCGACCTGCTTCATTCATGCCACCAGCAGGCGACAATGTAGAGCTGCGACCTCGAGCGCGGACAAAAGCACCGGAACCCATGGGCGGCGATCTGCGGGCTTCCGCGGCGATAGAAAGCGGGCTCGGATCGGCGGCCGACGAAGGAGGGAGGTACCCGCGCCGAGGAGCCCGCGACAGACTCGAAAGCGTGCGAACATGTCTCGTACCAGAATTGTCGAGCACATACGGTTCCGAATCAAGGTGGCTTGGCGTCAGGTCCGATGAGTTCGTGCGAGTATCTAACAACACACACGCATCCCTGTCTCCAAGCGCGTTCTGTGCGATTATCACCCGGAAGTCCTTGATGGGATCTAGTTCCACGCCACCTCGATCATCGTAGGCACCGGCAGCATAAGCATTCGGTAAATTGAATGTGCTATGTAACGGATACGCATGGGTATTTGACCGTCGTAGCAGGCTCGCGTCGGGGAAAAGGAGGCCAGATGTATGTTCTTCTTCCGTCACGGACTCCAGCTGGGTAGCGTTTCTATTCGAGTACGCCGCTGGGTTCAATGTCGACGCCGCACTGCTTAACAGGCGGCCCAACATGATGATTTAACTAGTGACGAGTCGTCAGGTATGCCGGAGGTTGAAAAAGAAATGGCTGTACGACGCCGAGGAGGGGATGTTCACGGCACAGAACAAGCCACCGGAATGCGTCGATGTGAGATTGAAGATAACAGGTAACCAACAGCCAGACTGATAACCTAGACTGAGCTGCAGTTCCCCAGTATCCAATCCTAGCGATTAAAAACCATGATCAACCAGGTTGATCGAGGGGCAATTGTGTTCCTTCAGAATCGACCAGAAAGGAAAGACACCACCTGAACAGTTATCGTCCAGTGCGGGGGGGGATTTTCACTTCCGGCAATCGAGAAATCGCTCACACACAAGAACTGCCAGATATCAGACAGGAACAATCTCATCACCTAGGGAGATAGAGCATGAACAGGAGGAAAAGATGATGAATTGAGTCTGGGGAAGCAAAGACGGGGGGAGGGGAGAGTAGATAGGTAGTGAGAGTACGGAGCTACGGAATAGAAGGTGGGAAAAGGACGAAAGGGCGGTGAGCAAGAAGACCACACAGAAAGACCGTGTGTGTGAGATTCTGCGGATTATTCACACATGATCTCAGCCTCATCTCATTCTGATGCCGATCGCATGCAGCTCATTGGCAGCTTGCATACTTCCCTTCTGTCGGATATACCAGGATGGGCAGATACATAATGATGCTGCAGGGCGGGGTAGGACGAGACACCTCATCCTGCATCGGTCAGTTTACTTTTTCGAGTCATCAGCAGCGAATAGGGCAATGGGAGATTACAGGCAGCAGAGAATGCACAGCATATCTCATATTGGTGGGAGTTTTTTCCCGTAGGAATGGCTGACGATATGGAAAAGGTATTTAGGGAAAGATAGGATGCATGATAGCTTGTCAATTCAAAGATGAAGGACACAATGCTTTTATTACACCTGCAAAGACGATGTACAATGCCATGGTATATATCCTAAATCCCAGTATGCTTTTGTCTTGTCCGCTAGAGAAATCAAATGAAGGTAACTGCAAATCAGACTCAAGTCTGTTGTGTCTTCCGCTTCACTTTGTCCACCAACTTCTTCAAATCATCCGATCCAGCGTTGCCTGCAGCGCTCTGCTTCTGCTTCTTCATCTTCCTGTCACGCGAGCTGATGTCTGCTTCTTCGTCCCCCCGGTCGTCCCGATCCCTTCGTCGCTTGCGTCCTTCATCCAACAGTGCTTTCATGCCTGATGTCGCCTTGAATTTCGGGTTGGTAGGATCGATGGCATACTCGTGACTCTCGAACAACCTTGCAAAACGAGGATCGCTGACGTCCATCTGGAAATCGTCAATGACTGTGTGAGCCTGCTCCTTTGCCTTCTTCTTGTTCTTCTTGCGGGCTTGTTTCTGTGTCTTCTCGATCTCATTCATATCAAAGTGTTTGATTCCTGATTTGTTGTCGTCCAGCATCAGGAGCTCCAGCTCGGCCCGCTTAGCCGCATTGGCTGCCTCCTCGGCCTCGCGTTCTGCGCGCTTCTTGCGCTTCTCCTCCTTGCGACGAGCGGCAGCAGTGGCCTTGCCATCCGGATCGTCAAAGAACGGATCGTTGAAGCCCAAGTCTTCCTGCAGAGCTTGTCCCTCCCCTGTAGACGCCGCGTCGTCATCGCTGGCCTGGCCCTTCTCGTCCCCTTCAGTGTCGCCACGCTTCGCAGCCTTGAGCTTCTCCTTTCTTCGCTTCTTGCGCTCGCGCTCTTTCCGCACATACTTCTCGATTGTAGTCTCATCTTTCTCAGGCTCGTTTTCGAAGATGGTGTCGCGTTTGGGCTCCCCAGCCAAGCCCGAGGTGAAGGTGACCTCCATTTCGCCGACAGGGCCAGATGATTTGGAGGACTTGATAGGCTCTGTACCTAAGCCCAGGAGAGCCCGCGTGCGCTGACGCTCTTCCTCTTTCTTGGAGACCTTTGTACTAGCCCCGTCTCCCTTTGTAGTATCAACAACTTCCACCGCCTCTTCCTCTCCCTCGTCATCGGAATTATCACTGGCGAGATAGGCCTTCAGATCATTCTCATCGATATCTTTGCGACTGCCTCTGAACGCTCGGGCTTGAGCTTCCTTGCGCGACTTGTCTTCCGCGTCCCATGTAAGCTTGACCTTGCTGTGCTGCAGCGCATCGGTCACGAACTCAGTCGGCTGATATCCGTCCGGGATCCGTTCGCATTCGTCGCGCGGCTTGTCGTCGGAGAAGTCCGTGTCGTCCGGTACGAATCGAAGGTCAAAGAAATTAGCACTAGATAGATACTCGGCTCCGTCCACGGAGTCATAGACATGTTTCGCAACATCCTTGCTTGAGAATGTCAGGATCGCGTAGAAGTACCGCAGTCGTTCCAGTTGATACTTTCGTAGTTGGGTAGAGTTGAACTCCTCGCCCTGATCTTCCTTCAACATCGACTGTTTGATCTTCTCCTCCTCTTCTTCCGAATCAAGATCCTCTTCGTCCTCCTCATCCTCCCCCTCCTGGCGCTTGCTCGAAGCGAAAATCTCCCGAGGAGGACCCTCCGTTTCCTCCCGCTCCATGCGCTCCCTGCCAAACTCGCTAGGGTAGACGGAGACCTTCAACACCCGACCGCCGGTCGGAACAAAGCTGGAAAACACAGCCATCAGATCCTCTGCCCGGATATTGTCCCAGTCCAGGTTGACCACCGCAATGCGATTTGTGACCTCTCCCGTCGGCACATCGACCTGCTGTTTATCGGGATACTCCAGCTCCTCAAAACTCTGGTCCTCCTCCGCCTCCTCTTCTTCTTCGCTTTCCTCATCACTCGAGCTCTCCTCTTCCGAGGACGAAGATGAGAAACCTCCGTCCCGAGCAGGATCATAGGACTTATCTACCCGCTTCAACTCCTTGAGAACCTCGTCATCGTCATCAGCAACCATTTCATCTTCCTCATCTTCCTCATCTTCGTCCTCGCCCCCCTCCAACTGGTAGAATCTCTCCAATTGCTTCTTCGTGTCATCGCGTGCGAGCTTGCGTCCATAGCGATCAACAGCGGCATTCCGGGAGAATTCCTTGTCACGCAGCATGTGCGCAAAACGCTTGTCGAGCTTCACATGGGTCTGGCGTTTGCTGGGAAGGCGATATCGTGGATCGGTTTGGATACCAGCGAATCTGGGATCGGCTAGAAGTAAACAGTCAAGAGTCAGCATCACGACAGCCTGGCGATCAAGAGCGAAAAGAGGTTGGTCGTACTGATAATAGAGCCGGCCTGCTTGTCGGCCTTGCCGCTCTTTTTCGATTTCTTTGAGTCGGGCATCGTGGAAGTACCACGGAAAGTGATTTGAAAGAATCGACTCTAGTGAGGATGCGACCGCGCGAATGTGAGACTTGATAAGCGGTTTGGAATCTCTCGCAACTTTCCTGGCGCCTTTTCTATGAGATTTGGTTGATAAGGATAATTTTCTTTGGCGGTGGAACCAAAGATTCTTCGCCGGTTTCTGCGTTGGTCCGTGCGTTTCTTACAGCGAGATCTTTCTACATGCGTAGGGCCCATTGCTTGACGCTTCAGCAACTACGTATTCCGCAATGGTTCATCATACTTCATATACTGTGTAATTTGATATGTACATTACTTTCTTGGTTATCGCATGACATGAGATCAAAAGTAAAAGCGGTCCTTCCCCTGCACCGACACCTTCAATGTACAACCTTGTGATCCATCAAAGTTTCCGTCATAGTTTAACATCCAAAATATCTCTTCTCCAACCACCGAGGTTCTCTCTCCTCCTCGATTCTCCCTACAATTACCCTGACCTCAGGGTAAACGGTGGTGAGCCGCTTAAGTCCGATCTTTCCAGCAGCGCACGTCACAAAGACAATCCTGTCTTCCGCGACTCCGTGATCGACTAAGACCCGAACCGCCATCAAGGCGGCTCCTCCACTAGCCATTTGAGGATCAAGGAGCATGACCGTGGCGTGCTCTTCAATGCCTGATGGGAGTTTCAAGTAATGCAGCTCTGGTTCCTCGTTCCGCTCGTTCGTCTGAATGAGCACGCGACCAGTAATACAATCAGGAATGGTTCGCTTGAGAGCTGTCTCAAGACAAGAACCACCTCGCAAAATTGCTACAGCAGACACTATACCTTCCGGATGTAATCCGTGATAACCAGCCCCTTCAGGGGTCTCGACCTTCGCCGGGTTATACCGAGTGCAGTCCAAGGCCCTATTACACGACGTTAGGGTCAGTCATGAACTTGGATTTTTGCGACGCTGGCAAATGAGAGTCAACGCACTTCTCTATCAGGAGACAAGCAAGCCGATCAAAATAGAAGACGAAATCGACCTGTTCCGTCCCGGGATCCTGTAATATTGTGTTCATACTGACGAACTGCGGGGTCTGAGGCATGACGAGCACATTTGGAGACAATTGTTCTTCTGAAGCAATCATCCCCAGCTTCTGTAAGTCTGCGCTGTGCTTTTCAGATTTCTCCTGGAGTTTGCGCTGGATATGTTTCACGACCATATCTGGGAGCTATTCAGCAAGGGCATGCAGACTTAAGCTCAACGTATTCGCTTACCGATGGCCGTTTTGTTCTCGATTCCACGGGGGATGATGATGTCTACTTCCGTCAGACAAGCAGACCAGGAGGGCACCTTTGTGCTAGCTCACCCGAAACCGACCGCTGAGGCTCGACATATTTCTTATACGATGGCTTGACAAATTGAAACCATTGCTTAATGATACCATCAATGTCTCTTCCTCTCTCCCGAACGTCACGCAATACTGACCCCCGCCTCCGTTAGGATAGTTAATCATGTTGGGCATGATTTTCACTCACTTCTGCGTCCAAGGCAAACATCCATATCTGCCTCAACAAAAATCTGAAAGGATCGATAAGTAACTTGAGATGCTAAGTGCGTGAAAGTAAAATCACCTTGACATCCAACATTTCCATGATCCTCGGGTCATGGAGGGCCAGAATTCCCTCCAGGATCAAAACATGCGGCGAGTAAAGAGTAGTCGTCTGAGGTTGGCGCTGATGTTGAGCAAAAGAGTAGACAGGAATATTTGCTTTCTTTCTTTTTTATGTTGACGCATTTGCTGTTAGCTGCGTGCAATTTCCGGAGAGCTTGAGAGTTACGAATGAGCAATGAGGGGAATTACCCTTGCTTGAGATCCCTTAAGGTCTGTACTAATGCATCGAAGTCGATTGCATCTGGACAGTCGAAATCGAATTCATTTGCATGCGCTTTGGCATGTTGCTCTGGAGTCAAACTCTTATAGAACGAGTCCTGTGCCAGAAAGGGTTAGAAGTCACGAGGATGCTCAAAAATGGCTATATCTATGGAAGTGATGTTCGAATGGGTCTTTAGTACCATAACAAGAATCACAACCCATGGCAGGTTCAAGGATTTAACAATTTCCATCGCCACGGATGTCTTGCCAGAGCCCGAACTGCCTGCAATGCCAATAATACTCAAATCCGCCCATGGTGGAGAGTATCTCTTCTCCGTGGCCGACGAGTAGACGGGAGAGATCGACTCCATGTTGCTATCTCTTCACGTAGAAGCTCCTAGGCTAGAATGGGTAAATTGAGCAACAGATTCCTGACCTTCCACACATATCATCCAGAAGAAAATATGACGGCCAGGTCAGGAATCGCCAGTGCTGGAAAGCTCCTGGGCCGATAAGAAATGCAGATAATAATCAGGTAAGTTAGTAACCCTCAAAAGCTTCTTTAGTGATCGGCGCTTAGACCGACTAAGTTTAGCCTCGACCCGTGACTTTTCGCTTACGGTTTAGTCCTAAAGCTCTAAGCGTGACCCAAAAACCTCCCGCTTTTCTTGCCGGCTTTTTCCTCTCCTTCTTCTTCTTCTTCCTCCTCTTCACCTCTCTCTCCCCCTCTCCCTCAAAGACTCTCCATGGCTTCCGTCTGCGAGGTTTTCCATCTTCACAGACAGCCGGAGCAGTTCCAAGGCACTTGATACCTTCATCAAGGTCCATACCACATTATCCCACAATGTCTTCAGCTAATTACGTATGCTCTCCCACGGGTTGTGCGCGCGTAATAGCTTGATTTTAACGGGATGCAGATGTCTCCCACTTCCTCGACAACAACGCCAACATGGCATCAGTTCGAGCGAAAGGTTGATGAGGTCAAACCCTCCAAGACGTGAGTTGCCTTTTCCATTGCCCTTACGTTTTCCTGAACACTTTTTTATGATGATCTTGAAATCAAGTTGGGAATCTCTCTGAAACTTCTTGAGGAGAATATGTTAACTTGTGTTTCTGAATCGTTCTTCACTTGGCTTTGCTCTTGATGTCTTGAGTCCCCTGCAGTTGCTGACAATCAGTTCAGTGATATCAACTATTTAGTGATGGATTACCTCATTACCAACGGCTACCCAGCTGCTGCAAAGAAATTTGCGGTTGAGGCCAACATACAACCCAGGGCGGACATTGAGTCAATCCAGGAAAGAGTAGAGATTCGCACTGCGATTCATTCTGGCAACATTCAAGCTGCAATCGAGAAGATTAATGATCTCAATCCACAGGTAAGAAGATTTTTTTTCTTTTTAAACATTCTGCCCCACCGCATATCCCTTGCTAGGATTATATCGGTTTACATGCACCACTCATAAATCCCCTTTTGGGTTTTGATGAAAAACAAACATCTTCAGTCCTCAGTATGATTAGCAAACTGTTCTATTGTCATATCAACATCGTCATACCACTGAATACACCGTGCTGACTTGCTTGGTATAGATCTTGGATGAAAATCCATCGCTGCATTTCGCGTTGCTTCGCTTGCAGCTTGTGGAATTGATCCGCGCGTGCATGTCAACGCCCAATGGTGACATCAGCCCTGCCCTCGAGTTTGCGACCTCGCAGCTCGCTCCACGGGCGCCCACGAACCCTCAATTTCTCGAGGACCTTGAGCGTACCCTTGCTCTCTTGATCTTTCCTACTGAGAACCTGGCCCCATCCCTTGCGCCATTGTTGCATCCCGACCTACGTAAAGATATTGCTACCAGGGTAAATGAAGCTATCCTGCAAAGTCAGGGTGCTCGTAAAGAAGCTCGGCTGCGCAATCTGGTTAAGTTGCGCGCCTGGGCGGAACAGAAGGCCCGAGAAGCCAAGAAGGATCTTCCGGAGAAGCTCGACCTCGGGCTCTATGATGGCAACAACGTAAAGAACGCTCAGAGCACCAGTCAGAATGGTGCTTCGAATGATACTGTAATGGCCAACAACGGAGACGTCGACCCGATGATTTCATGACCAGGCGATGTTGAATAGCTTGATGCTATCTGCCTCTTTTCCACTTTAGCGCGGAGTTCTGGCGTGATTTTTTCCGTCCTTGTGGTCGCTGAGCGCTCAACCATAGTACCTTCGAATAAAGAGGCAAATGAACCTAATTGAAGAACAAACCATGATCGTTGTAAACATCCAAACAGCCACCTTTCTTGGTCTATCTGTTATGTGGTGTATAGAATTGTCGTCGCCATTCTGTAGCAGCCCATGCACATGTTAACTCATTCTGCCGCGATCCGCTTGCAGCACCAGGGTAATCTGGACGCAAAGACAAAGGTTCCACCAAGCAGTAAGCATTCCAGCTCTTTCAAGAAGATGCAAATCAGTCAGAATTGACTGAACCATCTGCAGCCAGTCAGAAGAACTATCGAACACGATTTATCAGCATTGGCAGAATGGGCTCTATCATGGATATATATATTCTCAGAACACCGAGCACGACTTGTATCACTAATTCCAAACCAAGTAGGTACATGTATTCAGCCAACATCGATTTCAACAAGAGCAAGCCCTAGGTAAGTAAGGTAATATGCACAAAAGCGATATGCAGAAATTGGGTATTCAGATTTCTTTATTTGTTCCAACAGCAACCAAGGTCATGAATGGATAGGGTGGTATATCCGGTTCTCTGGGGGAGAAGGATTTATCATCGTCTGTGGATCTCCAGGCTGCCTATATCCAGAGAGTCCGACTAGAAGCTCATGAGATCTATGGAAAGTCAAAAGGTTAGTCAAGGATCCACGAGAAAGAAGAATACCAGGGAACGGGGCGATGCGAAGGAAACAGACCTCTTCCAAAGAGTGCTCTCTTTGCCCAGTCCATCGCCAGCATACACCGCGTGCGGAAGCTGACACTTTCCGCAAAATAGACGCTTCGCCAGAGGTACATGGCCAGCACACCGCCGCTGAAATTGAGACCGCCGAAATCGAAGACGGCCGCGTTGCTGATGTACGCCAGACTGCCGAGATGTTTGTACTTGAAGGGCTTGTAGACGATGTCGTCCACGTCACCGTGTTCAATCTCATTGACTCTCATGCCGGGGAGCGCGGCTGCGATCTTGGTGAGTTTGCGGCCCAGATATTCGCCTTGTTGGTTGGCGCGCTGAGCGGTGGCGGGCAGGGAGGTGAGCTTGGTATCGATCTGGTGGAGGAGTTCGTGCAGTTCGCCGAAGTCGAGGGTACCGGAGTGGTCCTTGTCGTACTGTTCGAAGAGCTTGTCGAGCCGGCGGAGGTGGTTGGCTGCCTGGGGGAAACGCTTCCTGACTCGGTTGGCTACGTCTTTCCATTCCCGGAATGTGAGGTGTAGCTTCTCGGGATCCTTGCCCTTCTCCCAGGCGATAGTACGCAGGAAAGAAATGATATTCTCGGCCACCTTGATCTGGACGGTCGAACAGTCTCCGATGGCATACACATCACCCAGAGGAGCTCCGATCAGACGGAGGTGGCTGTCCGTTTCCAAAGCGTGCTTGTTGTTTTGAGCCTCGAGCTTGTCTGAGAGTTTCTTGCAAAGTTCAGCGCGCGCTGTGTAATTGTCAGTTCTGAGTACGTAGTACACCAGGGTGATATTCACATACCAACTCCGGTCGACCACAAGCAGAAACCCATTGGGATCTCCTTCACCACCGGCTGTCCATTCTCGACTTGAGTGAACAAAACTCTGTCATCGCGAACCTCCTTCACTCGAGCATTTGTCAGGACTTCTACATGATCACGGTTGAAACGGGCCTATATGCATCAGCCTCATCAATCTTCTTATCTCAGTGGACTGGGTGAAATGCATACTTCCGCATACTTAGACAGAGCTTCATCGTAAGTGTTCAGGATATGACTCCGACTCTGAATGATGTGAACGGAAATCTCATTTCTCAAAATCTTGGGAAACGAGCGAAGCAGGTCCTCATTCAGCAGGTCGAACAATTCGGCTGCGAACTCAACGCCCGTCGGGCCACCGCCACAGACAACGAACGACAATAGACGCCGACGTTCCTCGTCGCTAGTAGTCGGTAAACAAGCCAACTCCATGTTCTCGAGAACCTTGTTCTTGATTTTACGAGCATCGTCAATCGTCTTCAGGAAATTGCAATGCTCGAGTCCTTTGACACCGTGTGGGTTCGTGACGCATCCTTTTGTAGTCCAGGTTTAGTATCGACGATAGGAAAGAGACACAGGGTCCGCACTCACCAACAGCGATTACCAGCTTGTCGTACGGAAGGTAAAAATTCTGCTTATTGCCATTGGCATCAACCTGAGACACCTCGACCAGCTTCTCCGAGAAATCCACATCTTCAGCCTCAGCCTTCAAGAAGTGACCATGAACCCGTTGGACGATCCGCCGGACTGGCTCAACAAGCGACCGCAGCCCCAGAGTCCCAACCGTCGCAGAGGGCAACATAGGCGTGAAAAGGAAATAGTTCGTCGGGGACACAACAGTAACATGATAATCGCCAGGATGGAGATTTTTAAGAAGCGCGACACTGCCCCAACCCGTTCCCAGAATGACCAAACGTGGCTTGTCGTTCTGCTGCACCATCGCCTCAGAGTCATTGTCTCCCACCAGGACCTCCGCTATAGGGAGGTTCTTCGGCCCCCCGCGTCGAGGATTAAGTGCCAATTCAGACACAGGAATATCTTCTGAGCTAGGATCTTCTCGGTATGTGGTCGCATCGTAGATGAAAAACGCGACTACTGCGACACCGCTCATGACAATGAAAAAACCACAGTACGTGAAGGTCTTCAGGAGTATGTTGAGGGTGGGGGATCTGCGGGCAGCTTTAAGCATTGGGTCTGTTGCCGTCGACTCATATCGGACTGACAACGACGCACTGCGCAGGATATTTGAGACACGCTGTTGGGACACTGGTCGCCGCCGGGTGGTATGTAAAGCTTGAGATGAAGCAATGCCAATTGAGGAGTGGGGCTTCGGGAATTGACCTCCATGCGATACAAGATTGATTCTCCTGAGCGCCGCAGTGTTCGTGCGGCTTCGGAGCAGCACCGTGCTCATGGCGTATAGGGATGAGGTATGCGGCTAGGTTACTATATCCGGGGGTGTCGGATTCAGTCAATGCTGCACGATCGTACCCGTAATCGGGTAGTACGAGACTGCAAGAGAGAGATCTGAAGAATTGAACACAGAAAAGAAAGACTGGTACGATGGAAAGATGATCGCGAAGAGACCCTTTCGAATGGCAAGCGAGATAAGTGTAAAAGGAATGTTCACCGACGAGCGACCCGGCTACGTCATGCCACGCTAACAACAATCGGCACTAAGCCTTCTGGGGTCGCGTAAATATAGCGACGGTGGGTATCTCGGCAACAACTTGGCATCGCTAAAGCTCCTCAAGACTAGAGTGAGATCAGTCTGACTCTGATGTATGAGTATAGATAGACAAGACAACTTGCTGAATCGAATATTATTTGTTTGTGGTATATTGCAGCTAACTGATGAATCATGTTCAACGAATCATCCATATGCCAGGGGCATGGCAATGGATACAATAAACATTGGCCTTACCGTGCAGGCAGCCAAAAATGAATAGAGAACACAAAGAGCCATAAGGATAAGAATAGATCATCAAGCAAATCCCCATCCCGCCATCATTTTGATATAACAGAATAGCTAGATAAAAGATATCTCATGAGATAGATAAAGCAATTGTAAGCCCACCGAACGCCGTGTGCCGTCCCGTATGCGACGTCTATGTGATGCACAGCCAAAAATGCAAGCGTCGACCGTGGGATGGCCAACTTACTACTGGAGACCTCAGCTCCAATCCATGTCATCGTCTGGCTCCGTGCTGGCTCTTTTCTTGCCGGAGCCGCTCTTTCTTCCCCGGGGCCGCTTCGCAAGATTTTGACCAGAAACAGAATTCTTCCGTTTGCCAGGTCGCTGCCCACCGGCGGACCCTGGACCAGCCCCCGGGTCGTCAAGATCAGCGACACCGTCGAAGCTGTCGCCTTCGGCATCCTTGTCCTCACCAACCTTGAACTCATCATCGATCGCAAGCAAAGTGGCGAATTCTCGACATTTGCTGATCATTTGTTCTTCGCTATTCAGTGCTCCCATGTTCCGAGATATGGCGTCCCAAAACTTGTCGCCGGTCACTCCTTGCACTTTGGTGGCGGACTTGTTCAGCTCCTTGGCCGTAGCTTTACCTTCCTTGTCTCGTACATGGGCGTGTATCCCATACAGACGGCGAAGATATGTTCGGGCCTCCCAAAGCATTGAGAGCGATGCTGCTGCTGTAGCCAGTTGCCGTAACACGGACGGTTTGACCTGTGGTAGAGGCTCTGGGTTGACTGGTCTTTGTGGTACAGGTTCGGTTGACAGTTCTCCCAGTGGTGCCTCCACCCTAGGCGGGAAAATCTCTGTTTCAATCGAATGGGCTACAACCGTTCCTGTCGCGGAAACAATGCGCTCCATGCACCCAACAGCTGAGACCAGCTCAGCAAGCTGGCCATAATCGAAGAACGCCAGGTTTTGAGACAAAAATCGTGCAAGTAGAAGATGCTCTGGCGGGTCCGCAGAGCTATCGAGCTTCTTCAATTCGAAGTCTACCTTCGAACACAGGTTGGACAGAAATTTCTTCTGATATCGACTGTTACTGGTCTTGATAATATCAAAAAGCGGTGCTAATTTTGCAACGTAAGGTCGGGCCAAAGCGCCGCTAGAATCACCGACCACATCGCGCTGGTAATAGAAAGCCTCCTGAACCGCCCTCATATATTCTCTTTCGAACATCGACTCATACTGTTGATGCAGCATCTTGTGCGTGTCAAACGCAACCTTGGCAATGGCTGGCACGGTGGATGTCTCCAGTGAAACCAACACGCCTGCGCATTCTTTGGGATGAACCAGTCCTTGACGGTTAATGCTAGCAATTAATTCAATGGCAGTGAGAGCATATGCGTCCTGCCGAGATTGCGCGACTCGGAGCATGCTCTGTAGGAAGTGTTGAGCTATCAGAGCGGCAGCCCCGTCGTTGTCACTCGCTTTTAATGAGCCACCCAATCTGGTGGAGTTCTCCTGATCCGCTTTTTCAGCAGACGGGACGACTGATTTTTCTGCTTTGCCCTCGTGCATGGCGAAAAATTCCGCAAAGGATTTCAGGACGATATTCTGAAGACTTGCATTGTCTTCTTTGAAGACCATCGAAAGAATCTTTCTCGGCTCATCTCGGCTGAACTGAGCGGGCCAGGACTGGCATATAGAGCCCACACTCTCTAACGCCATAACCCTGAGTTCCAGAGGCTGTTGTGGGAGAGTGAAAGGCACAATGGAGTCGACCATCAAGCCAGCCACCGATCCGCCTTTCCAAGCGGGAAAAGCGTTCTTGAAATGAGGTTCGTACTTCTCGAGATCACAATGCCGCCCGACGCAACCGGCAATTCGAATATAGCTCTTAGCTCTGGCCACAATAGCCGAATTAGCATTATCTGCAAGATCAACGTTTTTGTAATGTTGAATCGGTTTTAGAACCGATATGGTCAGTTTCACGAGTCTGTCGGTGTTGCGCAAAACGCCATTGATGGTCCACAAACAGGCCATAACCTCGTTGAGCTCTGAACGAGCAAGTTTCGCCACGCTTTTGAAAAGGTCGTTTTGCACTTCCTTTAGAAGAGTGTTGTGAGCGGACGAAAGGTACGGCAGGACACAGCGATAGATCACCACCACAGATCTGAAAATGAACAAATCCTCCGCAGTGGTAAGATTGCCGATGTAAGGGTGAAGAGTCTCCAGTTGGTCAGGGCTGAATAGCTTCGCATTTGCCTTGGCAAATACTGTGATTGTTTGAAGGAGAGCCTGCTGAAACTCCTTTTCCGAGCCCTCATCTTCAACTAATTTTTCGAACATCGTTGCAACCATCGCTTTGCAAACCTTGAAGTTCAATGAGGCCGTCTTGGAATTGTCCGATATAATCTTTCTCAAACAAACCCCTAATGTGTCGAGAGCGGTCTCGCTGCGCTGGACCAAGCTTACAATCAGCGTGACCCGCTCCCCTAGACCAACCTTGAGCTTCGAGCCATCCTGTGACGAATCGATAAGCTCATGAAACGGGGTAAGCCAGATCTCCTCGAAAGTCTGACGCGCCAAAGTGGCTACGCTTTCTTCTGTATCCGTTGTCCGTTGGAGAAAGCTATCCACTATAGCCAGCTTCAATTCGGTGCGAGACGTCTTGAGATAAATATCTTTCAGCAGCCCAATGCAGCGCTTCCTCACACCGGCTGTAGGATCGGCTGCGCAAGTCAGGATGCTCCTGCACCCATCCTCTTCCAACTTCGGTTTGAGAGCAATGCATTTGGCGATCAGCGAAAGTGCCGAGTCTCGAACCATCGGCGAGGCATCCGTAGCACATCGAAGGATAACACGCATGACTGATGCGTCTCTGTCTAGAAGACTCGGGTCTTTTTCGAGCATGTAGATCACGCTTTTAAGACTCCGACTGCGAACCTTTGCCTGGTCGCTGGCAATCGAATTGAGGAGGACTTTCAGGATTGTGTCAAAAGCCTTGCAAAAGCTCGAGTTTAAAACAGTCAAAATGTATGCGAACCGCCCATGAGCGGTTGATATCCTATCGAAGTGTCTGGAATAGCGACGTTAGCATTTTGCAGCAATGAATATATCCATTCGATAAATCCCGTACCTATGAGTTTCCAACCACAGCGGCTCGGAGAACAACTTCGTCAAGAGAACAATGAGGCTCTCAGTAGCGTCGTCGTCAGGAACATCGTCCTTGTCTTCGGAGTTATAATAGACCGAGCAGACGGTCTTTGCCCATTGTGCCAAGTAATAACCCCGAGCACTGGAGAGCTGCCAGTTGTCCGATGACTGGGCCTGAAGAAAGTACTCGAAAGCTATTCGATACGGACCTTCTGGCACAACTAGATCTTGAGGATGTAAGGCATGGTTGGAGTAGTCCTCAAACAACTGTCTCAAATAGACGCTGAGATCACTGTCGGACTCTTCCATCGAAGGAAGCAAGTGCTGAGCGGTCACTACTAGATCGGATATGGCGGATCCCATCCAACCCAGAAGCTCCAGAGCCATGCTTTTCGCAGTGGCAGGACTCTTATCAAGATCTGCAATACCAACCATGTGAGACGCCATGATGCGAAGAAGCAGTTCAGCCGCCGGCCAATCTGTTGAGCCCAGGACACCAATCAGATCCTCGGTGAAGATATCGAGAATGTTCCGAAAGGGTTGGTCGCCAGTCTTGGTAGATGTCATTGCACGTTGAACTATGAACTTGACGATGTACTGCGCACTGCGGACCGCATTATCATAGAGACGATTGACTTTCGTTGCGAGACGCTCTAGAGACGCATCTGTTTGATCCTCATCGTCGTCTTCGTCCGAGTCTTCCTCATTTTCAAGTGACTCTTCGTCATCATCGCCAGCCGAGAGCTTACGCTTCGTTTTTCGTGTTTTGGATGGAGTGTCAAGGGCAGTGGTCTGGACAAGCTGCATGACCAACGCAGTCAGAAGCTGAATACTCTTACCATCGGCGAGCTTGAATTGCCGGGCACTCTGCCGCGTAGACGGAAGCTTTTCCAGAGAAACAAGAATCTCGTCAAGAATGAATGGACGCTGAGCAGGATACCTGGAGAAAATCTTTGCCAGGACATCCATGGCTCCGCGGCGAACTGATTCATACTTTTGATAGCCGACAGCAGAGTCCTTTTCGGAATGCGCATTTTCCACGAAAATTAGCTTTGCAGCGAAAAACTCAGTTGCGGTGATTGTCCCTTCAGAAACATCAATGCGTGACAGAAAGTCGGCAAACAGTCCAAGAATCTTTTTACTTTGCTGGATCACAGCCCCTATAACACGCTTCTGTGAAGAGAAGAACTCAAAATACCTGGCTTCTTTGCCTCCAGGGCGGGCCTCAACTGCCGGAATGACGCAGTGATCGAAAATCTGATTGAATACATTTGGAATGGCCTCGATCAGATCCTCCGGACAGAGATCCCTTTCCGTTCGAGAGCCAGACATTGTCTGCAACAGCGTACCCACTGCGAGAAGAGCATTGAGCATATCGTCGACTTTTTCAAGCCACTCGTGGGTTTCAGAATCATTTGATGGGTCGTCCAGCCTGAGATCGGGTGATTGTGCCGCAACGATTGGCCTCTCACAAAGCTTTCGTAATCTATTCAAGTACTCCGATGGGATGTCCTGAAGCCGGTTGAAACCAACAACTTTTTTCATGGCCTTCTGAAGACGGCTGTGAGCATCAGATGAGAGGACAGGCCCATTTACGTCAAGGGAGTGAGCAACCGAAAAAACAGCATCTTGTCGTTCGGCCGATCCACCAGCAGTTGTTTCTGCTTCAACTTGATCCTCTGCCTGGAAAACCTCATGAAACAGGTCCTGTAGCTTTACAAGAGCAGCATCTGCCTCCTCTTTTTGATCCTTGAGTCGAATCATGGTAAGGTCCACCACATCGTTACTGAGCTTTCTCTTCTTCGAAGTGCCACGATCGTTCAGAGTAGGTATCGGCTTGACAGGAATCACTACAGACAGCTGGCTTGCCGGGTAAGCAGATTGAATGTAAGACGCTGGGATATCATTATTCGCTCGATGCGCTTGCTCGTTCCACGCTGGTGATTTCCTCATTGGCTTTTCACTCTTGACTTCCGTCGATGTAGGATCTGTGACGAATCAGCTAAGAGCATGTTGTCTCGGAATGCAATGGTTTGAGACTTACACCGAAATGCTATGTCCGTAGCATCCAACATCATCTTTGCAAACGGGCCAAGCTCGTTCCGACCAGAAACGTGCTCTGAGGGCGGGCTAGACAGGGAACTCTTGGGCTGAGCAGATCCAGGGGGAAGTTTGAACTTGCTGGAGATGATTTAGTGGCTGCGTAAGTAACGTTGTTGTAGATCAATGTTGCTTACAATTCCGTCAACTGGTCACCGTCAAGCAGTTGCTGTAGATATTCGCGAGATGTCTCTAACCGACTCGACTCATCATGCCCAGATTGTATCTCAGCATTTAATTCATTCAAAACCGTTCGACCCGACTGAAGGATATGATTGATAGAGGTGGTAGTGGGAGGTCGGCCAACTTCAGGGCGCAGTATGCAGTCTAAAAAGTATCATGAGTGAGCTTGACTTCACCATCCATGTGAGAGATTCATGAAGCATACCTAAGCCGAACACTGGCGAGCTAGACATAGGCGAGTACTGCAAAGCTTCATCAACAGACAATGGCCTGGTCCGGCGTTGCGAGAGCCCGCCAGAGCCATGGCCTTGCGCCTGAGGACGGCCATTGATGACGACTTGGACAGCCGGGCTCCAGTTTTGGTCCATGGCGGCAGCTTGACTTTTTAATGTATAACTGACTTAGGAAGAAGAGGTGCGTGATAGAAACAGGAAAGGCATGTCCTGCTCAGAGACATGACTATCAGCGAAGAAATTCAACTCTCAATCCCATCATCCTTCCCTGAGATGCTCTTGATACAGCGACGCAATACTTAGCAACCAGCAATAATAATTACTGCCAGGCACGCTCTCTTGCTGCCGCTGTTGACCGCCCGGCGCTAGTGTAGTCCTTAGTTACGGGGCTACATAGGCAGATGGTCCGTGCCTACAGGTCTTCCGGGCGGCAGCATCTCATAGCGGGAAAAAAAAAAGTTTCGGAGTTTTCTATTTGTCAAGTATCGATCGCATCTGCTGTCTCCTGCTTTACTCTTCCTCAGTAATCTCAGTTTGAACGTCAATTTCGAACATCTGTCGATACTGAAAACTTGTCTTGCACAATGTCTGCCATTGGATCTTTAATTTTCTGCACAGACTGTGGAAATCTCCTACCAGAGTCGACTGGTGATCCGACTAAGGTCCTTGTCTGCGATGTTTGCGGCGCTTGGAATAAAGGTGTGTTGACCTCATTTGTGAGGGCTTGAGGCGAGCGCTTGCGCTGACTTTGCCCTCAGATACTGTTCCCAACACGATCATCTCCGAGTCAAAACCGAATTCCTTCCCGTCGACTTTGAGAGCCAAGAGATCTGCAGTTCAGACCTTGACAGCTGAAGATAAGCGAACTGAGGCACTGGCGCAACATACATGTGCCAGATGTGGGAGGAAGGAGATGTACTTCACAACTGTGCAGTTGCGTAGTGCAGATGAAGGAAGTACAGTGTTCTACACCTGTGTTTGCGGTTACAAGTATGCAATCTCCACTGTTGATTCTTCGAACTGCATCTGCGGGCTCAATACTGATACTAATCCGACTGCAGGGAAACCACAAACAACTAGGAGACTGAAGAAGTATCTATTGAAGATTATGATTGTACGTCTACGGCAGCAACGAATCAAGCGCAATACCGATATTGTAAAGATATGCCTTCGACACCGAACCATTCAAGCAGCAGCAACGCCAGCATCCGGCACCAAAGCATATTCGACTTCACCATTCTTTTCGTACTCCGCCATATCGAGAGCCACAATGACACTATCTCTTACCACCTGCTCCGGGTCGTCCAAGAATTTCCTTAGCGTCTCCTCCACACCCTCACAGTCGCCCAAGCTTCCCAAAGCCTCAGCCGCTTCGTGTCGCACCATACCGGCCTCGCTTTGGTCGCTAAGCGCTTCGGTGAGGCTTGGAATTGACGCAGGGTGGCAGAGTTGACCAAAGACGAATGCAATCTCGTGGCGGAACAGTGCAGACGGATCTTTGAGGCCCTTGGCCAGCGCCTCGACAGCGCGAGTCGCTGTGGGAAGATCGGGAGGAGAAGCGAGGTCGCGCAAGGCAAACATCGCACGGTATCTGTGGAACAATGGTAGACTCGTGTCGAGTAAAGTCTTCTCTATTTCGGGAATGGAAGGTTCGCTGGCCGCCATTGGAAGTGGTGGAGCGGGGTCGATCGAGGTAAAGTCACTGTGAATTGGTGCACATGATACAATAAGCAATTTGCAAAGAGAAAGGGAAACAGGATGGATTGATACGGACACCTCATACCTTGCCTTTAATTTCTCAGCTTTTCTTGCCTCTGAATTTTCCCACAGAATCCTGTCCACTGCAATATCGCAAGTCTCTCTGATAACATCGGGCTCATTCTGATTGTCTCTAAGAGCCTTCAAGATCTCCAGGCTGTCCTCGTAACCCAAAGCGCCCAGAGCCTCTGCGGCTTCATGACGGCACATCGTATCTTGCTCCGTGTCCTTCGCGACTTGTTGTAGGAACGGCACAGACTCTGGATTCCGGGTCTGGCCCAAGCAGTATGCAAGCTCATGTTTCAGCAAGGCGGATGGCGAAGTAAAAGCAGCAGCAATAGCCTGAATTGCGGGCAGCGTCTTCTCGGTAGGGGGCTGCAGGCACGCAAGGTGCTTCAAGGAGAACAAGGCACGGAATCGGCGAGCAAGCGGCTCCGATTCGGAAGTGAGGACTTTGCGAAGAGTGAGGATGGTGGGATCCACGCCCTCTAGGGTATCAATTGCAGAAGGGGACATGATGGTATTCTGAAGGTGATCGGATAAGACGAAAGGTTTAGATTGAGACTGATCGGATTCGAGGAGGCTAGAGCATCAAATTTACTCAGAGAGCATCTAAATTTTCTGATCTTATCTCAACGAGATCATAAATTTTAGGTGGGGTGGCGGGGAGGTGGCCGCGGCAACTAGGCCTAAATCGCTTCCTTCACAGGGTCGTCCATCTATTCTTCGAATCCGATGCGTGTTATAGTTGTGTGATTGTAGTTCCTCTATTAAATTGTTTAGAGCTCAAGGCGATATGATGCATCTGATCTTAGGTAAGAAGTGGTTCAGCCTACCTCTCTACGTCTGTTCAACTCCGCTTGGACCATCTATCTCGTAAGCGTACAACTGATCTTAGTTTAAGGTGGTTCATGTTGGAATATTTTCCGAGTAGTGTAACCACAGTCTCTTCTAAATTTTCCATTAAAGTATATAGCCTTCTGGACCGTCTATTATTATATCATGAATACCATGAGCATCACCACGCATAGTTCTCCACACGGACTTGGCAGGCACAGGATAGCTCTACCAGACCATCATACATAAAGCTGCTTGAGATTGCTCAAGACATCCTCAGTCAATGAATTGTTGCAGTGAAAGGATTGAAATTGCCAATTCCTCACACATGTCCTCCGTAGAAGACTATTAGGTTCGGAATTGCAGTTCAGGAGTTGAAGTTCAGAATTAAATAGAAGGATCACATCCTGTCTTCTAGCAATAGGCGAGGATGCGAATTGAAGTCACGGCTCCAAAACCAGTGAGCGGTATGCCACGTTTCGTAAAAGAGCTTCGAAAACGCACTAAAATCCATTTGACCTATGGAGTAAACCTTTCAAGGACCAGAAGCTTGCAATTATATACATAGTACACTCAAATAGCCCAATCACTTGGTTCTGATGTGCTTGAGCTTCTTTGGTTCGTGGACGAAGTTGTTCGCATAAGCCTTAGGGACAAAGCGGCGCTCGTTGGGTTCCTGAACGAAGTACTCGTATCCCTGCTTCTGCGCGAACAAGATAGCATCTTCCTTGGACTTGAAGTTCAGGTGGGTACCCTGCATGAAATCGGCGGAAGACTGCCAGCCCATTAAAGGGTTCTCCCAACGGTGACCCTTCTGCAGAATATCCCAGTCCATTCTCCAGTGATGGCCGTGCCAGGTACCGGACTGCGTTGCAGCCTTCGTAGCCTTGTAGATCCTAGTAGCGTGGTCAGAAAGCGGCGGGTGACGAAGGGAAATCTAAATCTATACCTAACAGTTCGAGCTTGAAGGTCCGTAGGAGCCCCGGAGAGAACAGCAGCAGCCACAGTTTCACCAGGCTCGCTACCGTCCATGACACGCTTAGGCACAGGGGAGAATTGTCTGGATAGCCATCAGTGGAGTTCTCGTGTACCAGCTAGACTTCCCTTACGAGGTAGCATGGTCAATTGTGGCCTCATAATCGGGCTGATGACGAGCCATTGCTTCGGATGGCGTCTCCTTGCGAACCAACGAGCTCTCTGAAAGGGTTGTGGTAGGTGCGTCTGCAGGGCTGGTCTTGACACCGGAGTCACCAGGACGGTTTTGCGAGGAGATGAAACGTGCATTGATAGGCACAGCAATTCTGCTCGCCCGAAAGCAGGCGGAGCTACCTGCTCTGAAGAGGGACATGGTCGCGAATTTGTCTGACTTGAATTGAGGTGAGCGGGCGACAGCGGGAGTGCAATATCTTGAGTGAGGTATGCGGCGAGGTCTGGTGGTTGAGGCATAACCAAATCCGGTTAGCGCCCCTTGAGGCTCCCTACGTTAGGAACCGCTCATCCGACAACCCGCGATCTCAGGCACATCCTCTCTCCTTCGTCTTTATCGATTGTACGGTTCACTCGCCTGTACTTAGGTAAGTAGAACTGCTGGATAGTGTCCAAATTTTCATTGTCATTCAGAAGCGATACCGGGATATTGACGCAGATTCAAAATCAGACAAGATGAGCTACATCGCCCGCCGAGGTCTCTCGACCTTGATTCCCCCCAAGGTAAGGAAGAATAGCAAATACCCAGAGATTGCGTTCGTTCGTCTCAGTGAAGACATTCTAATTATTTCCCTAGATCGCTTCTCCCAATGTGAGTCACCTTTTGACGTCCCCTCGGTACTCTTTACGTTCTTCAGTGCCCTCCTTCTCCAGTAAAGGCTTTTCACCACGACCACGACCTTGAGCGTCGATCGCAAACAAACACCGGTTCTGCTTATTGTGCAATGACTGACATTTCACGAAGGCCATCGGCGCCGCTAAGGATGCCGCTCGCATGGAGCGCGTTGTGAACTTCTACGCCAGACTCCCTCGCGGTTCCGCTCCCGAGGTTAAGCCTACTGGCCTCATTGGACGCTACCAGGCTCGTTACTGGGGCAAGAACCCTTCTGCTGCGCGTGAGTAGTTCCAGACACTTGAGTTTTGTACATTGCAGTTGCTGATCTTTAATCGCTCCAGCCCTTGCTCACGCCATTGGTGGTATCCTTCTCATCGGCTACAGCATGGAGTACTACTTCCACCTTCGTACGTTTTCCTTTCGACCGTGGAGATACTTCGCGTTGCTAACAGTTACAGGCCACCACAAGAATCACCCTCACTAAACGCTTCACTTTTGTGTGGCTTGCGGAGGATCTGTGTATATACCACCAAACCTAGAATGGAAGCAATGTAAAAGAGGCATACCTCCAGCCCAGTTGCTCTGGCCTTGATACCGGATTTCTCTCTTCCGATTCCCGTTGAACATCGCTATGTAGTGATCATTTGCGTAGTAGATGATGTGTAAATATAGGATTTGTGGAGTGTCGCTAATCCCAACACGACCCTTTGTTTCTGCAATGATCTTTATGGGAAGGACTATGGACTGAAAAACCGAAAATTCAATATCATTCTGAATTTCGAAGATATCAATGACAGTGAATATCTGCTTGCCGGTGACAATCATCTTGCATCCTTGCGGCTCCAGCCACAAGGTTTTGACTCTCTTTACTTCATTTTCGTCCCACGCTAACCCAAAACAGCCACCTCACCTCCAACTTGAGCCGTCACCCATGACTGTCAGCCATCACCCGGTCATCAAACCTGAGAAAGACAACTCTATTGCGACCTCCCATTTGGGATTTCTTGGGCAGTGGCGTTTACTATTATATCGCATCTATTTCGCCTGTCCGTTCCTTTCGAGCCTTTATTTCCAGTCTTTGGGCTTGGACTCCCCACCGCGCACTTAGTCTCGTCGTTTGGAGCTTTCCCCCCAGGCTCAAACAATTCAGCTGGCAGTCTAAACGTGGCGATTCTTGATACCTGGTAATAGGTATTTCTCAGAACATTTCCTCATGCTTTCTTTATGAGTTCATGGATACTGCGGCGACTATCCTAGCATTCACAGTTACAAGACTAGTGTCTAACAGATGTCGCAACCTGCGGATCTCACAGACTCGGGAATTGTTATGGCAGAGCAGAGCAGCCACGATGTGGTAAATCAGACCCTGTCGGGCGGCGAGCCTTCGCCTTCCGACGTTCCTGCGAGCACCAAAGACAAGATATCTGCTGGAGGGGACCTGGGGGAGACTCAACACACCACCGCAACAACACAGACCACGACGAAAACGAACGATCAACAAAGCCAAATAGAGCCCAGTGCTTCGGACTCATCACCCACGAAGAATGAGACAGAAAACGATTCTGAACGTCCATCGACAGTGAGTCTCTACACGAACGAACATGGAAGTGAATGCGCTACTGAATGGGTTATAGGAAAAGGATATCTCAAAGCAGGGCCCCGGGCCAGTCGCCACGCGAGCACTCGAAATGAACGGGGTAGCCTCAGTGTCGGATGCCGGAGAAGATACGGCTTCCCAGGGTGGCTCGGAGTCGGATGCCAGTCGAACAGACGGTAAGCGTGTGGGCTCGAAGAAGCCGACGACGTTCAAACCAGTCTCGTTCGCCAAATTTTCCGTCCCAAAAGCCCCGGGAGTGCTTGCCGCAGCTAAGGTGGCTGATAAAGGTATCGATAACCTCAACTTTGTTCAAGTAATTTATCTACTAACTTGACGTAGCCCCTTCGTCTTTGACTACGCCGTTGGGCGGGCCATTACAGAGCTCTCGCCCGCGCTTGGTGGCCAAGACGACCAGCAGTCTTCGTGACTCACTCTCAAAGTCTGGAACAGGTGCAGGCAAGGCAGGTGGAGGTGGAGGTGGACCTGATCCAAATCAGGTCTGGAACAAGAATAGACGTAAGGCACTGCTTGTCCTCTTTCTCGAGAGCAACCCTCTAATATCCGAGTTTTCAAAGCCGTGCAAGCTACGCCACCGAAGCATTTGACAGATGAAGAACTGAAGCAGCAATACGGAATCCATATGACTTCTCGCATCCAAGAAGATGGTGGTGGGACCGAAGCGAAATGGGCCGATATCGATGACGACGAAGACGACTGGGCCCCTGAGACGATCGAATGGACTGACGGTACCAAGACGAACCTTACTACTCACACGGAGGCAGTACACACGTCCGGCGAAGACACTAAGACGGTGATCGAAGCAAAGGTCGATTCTCCTGCACCAGAGCAAGTTCCTGCCATTAAAGAGGTGACCAAAATCGTCCCGAAGTCTACAACCACTATTGGACCCAATCCTACCGTTCTCAGGCTTGGCGCAAATGCGGAAAGGCAGGCGAAGAGCGCAACCATCTTGTCGAAAGGACCAAATGACAAGCCATCGTTGGCGTCCACAAGTCCAGCTCCTCCTCCATCTAAATCACCTTGGGCCCCACTGCCGCCAGTTGAAAAGGTATCCCCGGTTATGCCGCCTGTTCAAGTTCAACCTCCCGGCCGTGCTTCTGTTAAAGAGTACCAACTGAGCGAACCACCTACCGGAATTGTCCACCCAAAGGAGATTGCGGCGGATGACTTCAATCGATCGTGGAGGGACACGCAGTCTGGAACAACTCGCGAATTGTACAACTCTAGATCGGGTCGCTATGAGCCTGTACCAGAGATTAGGAAAGCACCGTGGCGTGCTGAGCAGCAAGGCTTCCGCCCTTCTTCTCTTTTACAGCGGCCGACACCAGGTGAGCAGGCAGGACCTGCGGAGCCTTCTCCAGCATTTCAAACTCATCGATCAAGTGGCCAAGATGCCGGGCATTGGACGCGTCGGCGAACTTCATCCAACGTCAGCGGAGGAAGTGGGAGCTTTGGACGTCGGATGTCGATTGGTCGCCCTGATGGGCTCCAGAGAACGTTTGAGGCAAGAAGAGGCTCGCAGGTCAATGGAATCGTAGAGCCATCGCTTCCGAACAGAGAGTTGGTGCATCTGAAGGACGCATCTATGTATGAGGCTTCCTCTGCCCGCCATGCACCAGGTTCGGCATGGCCTCCACGTGCAGCTGCGGGCCCGCACGACACTGTCGCAAACGCACCTCGAGCTGTGTCTCAGCCATCGGTGCCTCCGCCTCCAGAAGTTCAGGATGCTACAGCGCAAGCTCCGCAGGAAGATCCCGTCGCGATGCAGGAACGTATCATGAAGGAAAAGCGACTTGAAGCTCGGCAGCGCAGGTTAGAGCAAGAAGAGAAAGAGGAAGCTGCAAAACGTGAGAGAATTCGGCAGAAGCTGGAGGCACTGGGTCCCCCACCCGAGAAACCAAAACCCAAACACAAGGAGTCTCTGGAAGGCGATAAAGCTGAAGCCAAGACGTCCCTGACCGTTACGCAAGCATCGCAATCGCCTCCTAAACCCCCGGTACCGGAACCAACTGGTGAACCGAAGCAATACGGGATGATGAAAGTCCATCATCCCGACGCCGTCAAAAAGCTCGTCGCCGCGAATGAAAGAGAGAGAGCTGCTGAACGGCCGGCTCCCACGGCCAATGCTCGACGTCCTACTTCGCCAGCTCGTGAGCCTAAACTCGATGCTACCATAGGACCTCAGGAGCCTGGCGATTTCCAGCAGTCCCGACTTCCTGAGAAATTGCCCGAATCAACAATCGAAGAGTCGAGCTCCCAATGGAAGAGTAATCTTAGTGGGTCGAGCTCATATTCGCCTTGGTCTTCGAACACTAAACTTGGTGCCGCGTCTTCTTCTATTGCGAATCCCTGGAAGCCTCTCAGCAACGATAAGACCCTCGGTAATGGCATATTTGACCAAACCCTGGGGGGCTTCCCACCGAGAGACATCTCCCTTCGTGGTCCTCTCGGTCTCGACCAACCTCCAATCCCTTCTGGCTCACAACCGTTTTCTGCCCCCTCGCGACCTCAACAAGAGTCTACATCAATCTCTCCTTTGCCTTCTCCCGATGTTCGACATGCGCCGTATGACTCTATGATCCCGATTACCCGGCCAGGGCCAATCGGGCCCCCAGGTGTGCACCAGTCTCATTGGCAACAGGAATCGCGTGTTACCGGGACTGCGGCTTGGAATAATTTTCACGCGGTCGCTGTTAAACGTGAAGCAGAAGAGAATGAGAAGCTCCTAAATGAGATGAACACAATGCGTGATAGCCAGCCTTTGCATGTTGCATTCAATGAAACATGGCGACAGGTTCGCACTGGCGACCAGAGTGGACAGAGGCAGGTTGTCGGTATTCATAGGCCAACCGACACTTCAAGTTCGATCTCCAATCATCTGCCTGGTTTCGATCATCCTGTCGCGACT